AAAACAAATGGATTCTGTGCATCAGGATAAAGTCTGAGGGCATTTACAACACAGTCTCAACACTCAACACAACGAAAAACTTGACAGGAATTTCATTATTTTAAAACAACTTTCTCTAAAACTACTTAAAAAAGGAAAGAGCTGTAAAACAACTTGCAGCAAAACCCAGGCTACTCTTTTTTAATAAAGGCTTCAACCAGGGCAGTTTTAAAAACATCTGGAAAAGCAACTGTTTCACTGTCAACAGTGAAAACATCATTTTGCGCACAATAACCATTTTAAAAAGTACAGGAACAGGGTGAAGATCACATCTTAGAGGTGGGCGATATGGCGAAAATATCGCAATAATACGATATGTACTTTTTCAGACATCTGATCACCTGGAAACTGAGAAAGAAGTACCAGCAGTGCTGCATTGTAAAAATACTATAAACTGTGAAGACAACAATTTCTATTCAAAATTTGGCCCAAAATCCTGTTAAACTGGACTAATTTTGCTCTCTTTACAATGCAACATGCAGCTGGTCAGCGTCTACAAGTACTGATGATGTGTGATATGTTCAGAAAAGCACACTGCATTATATTATGATATAATTTATCATGATAATGATATAAATTGTCATATTGCCCGACCCTAATGTCACACTTGTCAGACTTCTGTTCTGGCAGGTGCTTCAGCACTTAAATACAGGGTTTATTTTGTTTATTTTTAGGATCCCTATTAGCTGTTATTGTGATATTGTGACTGGAGTCCAGTCGACATAGGGTGATTAAAAAAAGATTCATCAGATTCCAAAGCGCCATATATTTACAACCGTGAGGTGCCACCGTGAGGAACCAATCACAATCCAATTGACAGAGGGGGTCATAGAGTTTCTGACTGTCAGTCTGGCAGTGAACCTCCAACAGCTCAGAGCGTTCGTCGCTGGTTCCACAACACTGGATGATCTCCGAAATCGCACTGAAAAAGCCACGAGTGCAGCGACACCCGACATGCTCAATCCAGTATGGGATGAATCTGACTATGGCGTTGATGTTGTCTGTACAGCTGGAGGAGGTTCAGACTGAGACCTTGTACAATTACATAATAAACTTAATGCTCATTTAAACCATTTACAGTTCACTGCATTGATCTGTAATGATTTACAAGTGAAATTAATCATTTTGAAATCGGATGAATCTTGTTGAATCACCCTGTATACCTGATTTAGCTCATTAGATGATTAGCAAGGCCTGGAGGGAACCCAGTCTGACATGCTAGTCATATGCGGAACAGTTTAATCTGTCTACAAACACTTTAATCCCCTGATAACCGATAACAGAGAAAGACAGGACCACTGTAAACACTGTTGTAGTAAGTAGGCTGTGGGGTTTCTCTACTGAGCCGTCTGATAACACCAAAAATAGACCCAAAAGTCTGCCTGAAAAAGTACCTGTGTGTTTCCCTTCAAATACCAGAGTCATGAAATTCGGCAGTTATATTTGGCTTCACACCATTTCTCCATCGACTCCAACGTTCACTGTGAACACAAACAGTAGCATCAATGGACGAGTTCCAAGCTGTGATTTACTTTTTACTGTGTCGGGTTTTAAATGGGCCTGTTAAAATTATTACATAATCTCCTACACTCTTAAAAAAGATGGTTCTTCAGGCGTTCTTTACTAAAGAAAATGGTTCTATATAGAACCATGAACTCTCAAAGAACCTACTGCATGATTACAGGGTTCTCTGCATGGTGAAATGGTTCTTCACGGTTCTATAGGTCACCAAAAAGCGTTCTTCTGTTGTTACGATGTCATATAAAAAACAGATTCTCCATTAATCTGAAGAACCCTTTCATGATGCAAAGAACCACTTAATCATGCAAAGGGTTTTTGAGTGTTCATGGCTCTATATAGAACCCCTGAAGAACCGTCTTTTTTAAGAGGGTTTAATCAACATTTTTTACTTTGTTTCTCAATATTTCTATGAACTGTGTTCCAAAGCCAAAGCTGCAGCCGGGGCAGTGCAGGTCCTCGGTAGGACTGTCCTATGAAGACTCCTCCTTAGCAGCCTGTTGGTCACACAAATGGATCAGTCCTAACGAGGCTGCATGGTTGCGTCACCAGAGCGGCGCGACACTTATGAGGGAACAGGTGAGAGAAAATGGAGCCGCTGCATTGAGTTTGTTGCTTTTTCATTTCTTCACAGAAATATAGAGATGATCTTATGTATTCCGATAAATTACATATAAACAAATACTTCTAAATAAAATACGATATACGGACGAATGCTTTAATTAATCAGTGACTTCACACTTTATAAGGCAAAAAAGATGAATTCAAGGACGTGAACAACTTTTAAAACAAGCTCTGCTCGTTTTACGAAAGTGTTCCAGGCAGCTGAGACGGCCGTTCTTGGTGTTCTTGATGAAATGAGTTTGAAAAAATGTGTAAAACTCACAAAACAAAATACATCCAACGTATTCAGCCATGTTTGTAGAGGACTTTTATTAGAATCCACTGTGTGCTCTGCCTTATTAATGCAACGGGCTTCATATACACGTGGCTGCTGATTGCGCAACAACACCTCTGACACCCATCAACCTGGAAACCGTAGCAAAACGGTGCACAACGTTTTGAGATTGAACGCGCCCCAGGTCAACCTGCAGCTAATAAAAAGTGAAACTCAGTTGTAAATTGTTGTATTAACTACTTACCGTTGTTAGGTTTACTAATTTCTGCCCCTGCGTGCATCATTACCACAGACCACAGACCACAGTAAGTCTAAACAGTCAGATATAAGAAACAAATCTGATTTTGATTCCTGCAGTGTAAACAAAGCATTGACAGCTGGGGATCTAGATAGATAATCCATTTAATCTGTCACTTTAGGCTCATCCTTTAACAGTTGCATACAACAGACAAACAAATAAAATATTAAACTGGCAGCGAATCGCCTGCTAAAATTTCACGATCATGACTAACGTGAGAAGTCCAGTGACGACTGCGTTTTACCGATGAGTGTTTTGCACCATTACCAGCTCCATCCATGTTCCAGCTTGGCACAACTACAATAAGGGTGACCAAAGTCAAAAGGGTACTCAGGTATGGTCCAGTTCACTTAGCAGTGGAAAGGACAAAACACGCGATCATAGAGGTGGGCGATATGGCAACAGCACAATACTTCAAGAAATGTTCACGATAAGCGATATGTCACGGTATTTATTTTTTCAGACGTGATCATTTGGAACAGAGAAAAAAAAGAACCAATAGTGCTACATTACACTACATTACACTATCAAAAATACTGCGCTGCAGAACATTTTAAACGACAAAACATTCCTTACTAATTAAAAACTAATTACTTTGTTCTTTTATTCATATCAGTCACTGTTTTATGCATTTGGTGCTCCTTTTCTGTTATTACTATTATAGACTCCGCCTCTCTGGGATGCTTTATCTATACCCAATCATGTTACTGACCTGTTGCCAATTAACCTCCAGGTGTTTTTTTTAACATTACACAACTTTACCAGTCTTTTGTTTCCCCCGTCCCGACTTTTTTGGAATCTGTGGTTGGCATCAAATTCAAAATGGGCAAATATTTTTCTATAAACAGTAACATTTCTCAGTTTCAACATCTGATATGTTGTCTTTGTACTATTTTCAATTAAATATAGGGTTTACAAGATTTGCATATCACTACATTCTGTTTTTGTTTACTTTTTGCACAGCGTGCGGAAATGGGGTTGTATTTGTTGGATTCTTTTTTTAAATTGTTCTATTTTTGATTAGATTTTTACTTTCCCTTCTCTGTTTATTTACCTTTCTCTGTTTTTCATTTATCTTTCTCTTTTGCTTTTACTGCAAAGCATTTTGAGCTGCATTTAATGTATGAAAGGTGCAATATAAATAAAAACTTTATTACTATTATTATTACTATTATTATTATTATTATTATTATTATTAAAGGGGACTAATTTTGTACTCTTTATAATGACACAGGCAGCTGGGTCAGTGTTCTACATACTGACATCATGCTCGATATGTTCAAACAAGCATACTGTGAAATAATTTATCACAATAACGATATATATTGTCATATTGCCCAGCCCTACGTGATCATCTACCGTCCTGCACTGCCCGGTGGAAAAACACCATTAGATGATGATGATTCCAAAAAGTGTCATGAACGAGTTCCCTCCTCCGTCTTGGGCTACGTTCACATTACCAGGCTGAAGTGTCACAAATCTGATTTTTTGCCCTAATGTGACTCAGATCTGATGTTTTCAGAGCTGTGTGGACACAAATCTGATCTTCTCAAATCCGACCTGAGCCACTTTCATATGTGGTCCTAAATCGGATACGTATCCGATTCGTGGCCATGTGACTTAATGTGACGCTCAGATCGGAATTCATGTGTTTTTTCCACTGCGCCATCATTCAGCGTTACCATGGCAACAGCGCCGAACAGAAGTTAAAGCCTGTAAACGGCGGAAAAGCAGCTCATCTCACCTTTTTCTCCTTCGTCTCGCTCTAATAATGAAGCTGAGAGCTGATCAGAGTTAATGATCTTCTCAGCGAAGCTCGTTCTGCTCGTTAGTTTGTGCTGATGATGCTCGTGATTCATTCACGTGACGTTACTGAGTAGGATGAGCTCATGAGGGTCATTTCAGGACGCCGGTTCGTCACATTAACGACAGATTTGAGTCACTTACCTAAACGAGTGTGAACCATCCTGTCAGAGAGATCGGATTTGAGCAGAAAATCGGATTTGAGCAACGAGGCTTGTAATGTGAACGTAGCTTTAATGCACTTGCAGCGTTTGAACGCCTGGAGTTTCGCCCACACTCTGAGCAATAATACGGTTTCTCTCCTGTGTGAACGCGCTGATGCGACTCCAGACCCCCCCCCATTATGAACAGTCATACGGCTCCTCTCCTGTGTGGATGCACTGGTGTCTCTGGAGGCTACTCTTCAGAGTAAAACTCTTCCCGCAGTCCGAACAGCGATACAGCCTCTCCGTCTTGTGACTGCGCAGATGTAGTTTGAGATTGCTATGCTGTATGAAGCTCTTCCCGCAGTACGAGCAGTAATACGGTCTCTCTCCCGTGTGAATGCGCTGGTGTCTCTGGAGGCTGCTCCTCAGGCTGAAGCTCTTCCCACACTCCGAGCAGATGTAGGGCTTCTCTCCGGTGTGGACGCGCTCGTGCTTTCTGAGGGTGCCTCTCTGCCTAAAACTCATCCCACAGAACACGCAGTCGTACGGCTTCTCCCCCGTGTGGATGCGCTGGTGCTCTTTTAAACTTATCTGCTGATTAAAACTCTTCCCGCATTCCGAGCACTGATACGGTTTCTCTCCCGTGTGAACGCGCTGGTGTATCTGGAGGTGGTTCAGAGTGATGAAACCCTTCCCGCACTCCGAGCAGAGATACGGCCTCTCTCCCGTGTGAATGCGCCGGTGCGTCTGGAGGTTACCCAGTTTAGTGAAGTTCTTACCGCACTCTGAGCAGTGGTAAAATATATCCATGTCCGGATCTTTCTGAGTTCGTCTGGAAGGCGTTTCGGCGCAGAGAGCGTCGGAGGGCGCTTGCTGAGAACTGCAGCTCTCTCCGAAGTCGATGTTCTCAACTTTAATGTCTTCTGTCTTCAGCAGCGTCACATAATCTTCCTTGGAGGCTTCTCCTGAGGTGTCTGCGGAGGTGAGCCATGTAGGGAAGTGGACGGGGGAGGAGTCGTAACAGGACGCCATTCTTTTCTGGATAATAGAAAAAACGAAATACTGTGAAATGCATCAAAAGTATAAGAAAAATAGCTGAAAATTGTTCCTACACTGCAAAAAAATGACATCTTGGCAAGTATTGGGTACTATTTGGGTGGTGGATCATTCTCAGCACTGCAGTAACACTGACGTGGTGGTGGTGTGTTAGTGTGCGTTGTGCTGGTCTGAGTGGATCAGACACAGCAGTGCTGCTGGAGTTTTTAAACACCTCAGTGTCACTGCTGGACTGAGAATGGTCCACCAACCAAAAATAACCAGCCAACAGCGTCCTGTGGGCAGCGTCCTGTGACCACTGATGAAGGACTAGAGGATGACCAACACAAACTGTGCAGCAGCAGATGAGCTATCGTCTCTGACTTTACATCTACAAGGTGGACCGACAAGGTAGGAGTGTCTAATAGAGTGGACAGTGAGCGTCAGTGTTACTGCAGTGCTGAGAATGATCCACCACCCAAATAGTACCTGCTCTGTGAGGGTCCATGGCGGTCCTGACCACTGAAGAACAGGGTAAAAGGGGGCTAACAAAGTATCAGAGAAACAGATGGACTACAGTCTGTAACTGTAGAACTACAAAGTGCACCTATATAGTAAGTGGAGCTGATAAAATGGACAATGAGCGTAGAAACAAAGAGGTGGTCATTATATATATATATATATATTTTTTTTTCCTCCTGTTTGGCTTGTCTTGTTTTTCACTTACTTTGTCTGTCTCATATACTGTCTGTTGTTAATATTAATAAAAATAATAATAAATAAATAAATAGTATAAAAAATAAAAGATAAAGAAAATCTAGAAAATACTAACATTTTAAAGTTCAGCTGTTCTACATATCTTGTTTTTTTTTATTTGATCTGTGTCATTGTCGTATATCATTTTAAACTGATATGTAAAGATTCTTGTATTACTGTTAAGCTTTATCACCTGTCTGAAGCTCTTTGAGCTGCTGCTGGCATAAAAGTGCTCTATAAATAAAGAAATTCTTCTTTTTATTATTATTATTATTATTATTATTATCAGTATAATGTTGATTAAGATCATTTGAGACCTAAACATCAAACCAGAGCTTTGTGCCTCTATGTGTGATGCTAATATGTAAAGACGTATGATGTGGTGTGAAAAACTCAACCTGAAGCCTCTGACCTTTAAATGGTCATTTCAGGCTTTATAAGGCGACTTGCTGCAGCGCTGCTCACCATATTTTAGCCTGTTTTTATTTTCTCACTCACTAATTAATTTCATTTCAGTTTTAACAAAAAAATATTATATACTGCAGCTTAACGCTTGTTGTGCTGATGTGAAATTGCAGACAATCTTATACAGAATCAAACAAAGCTTTTTTCTTTTATAGAGAACAGCATAAATGACAGTAGCGCTTCCTATGACCCAGCTTCAACTTGCCTTACCACAGAAAATATAACACAGTGCTGGATTCACTATGGAGACTGTAGAAATTCTTATGCAGACGGTGGAAAGACACTCCATTCTTCAAGGAGCGCTCCACCAATATATCTAAATTATAGATTTCTCCATAACGCAGTGTGTGAGGTGTAATCAGAGTGATTCAGAGTGGTTTGGTGTGAAACGGTTCAGATGTCTTTACAGTGGTGGTGATAGGAACCAGGGGTCGCCATGACTACAACACAAATATAGACATTTTATTTACTATCCAGAACCACCAGTGAACCTACACGAGTCTTTATGGAATGATGATGATGGAAAACAGTGAAAAATCTGCAGTAAGACATTTTTATTTACAAAGGCATTTCACAACAAACCACTCGGAATAACTTTTTTTATGTACACTTTTTAAATATCGGTGGAGTTTCCCCCTTTACAATGACATCCTTTTATTATTTTCTCAAGAAAGATCTTTATTATTTAGCCTATCATTATCATGTCCCTTTTTACAGAAAATCTGTAAAATGATGTGTTAATAAATATCAGCCTAAAGGCTTTTATTTTGAAATGCCTTTTCTTAAATGTAATTGTGGCACTGAGTGCAGTACGGAAATATTTTATTTAGAAAGGTCTCTCATTAAATGTTATGGCGGTTCACTGCTTTTATTATTTACTTTTTTGTTTGATTTTTTTTTATTATGTATTATTTTTTCTAAATATTACACTTTTATCATTGCACTGAATTTACCTTTGTGGCACCTTTAAGTGAAAGGTGCATTATAAATAAAACGCATTATTATTATTATTATTATTATGTTTTCTCTGGGGACTATTTTGCCTCACAAGGCCCTGCATGTATCCCTCCACCATGAACTTAGTGCTAAAAATCTTCCCTAAAATATAACAAGCCGTCAGGCAGCGTATTCATACTCGTTTTATGTAACATCTTTCTCTGAAGGACTGACTTTGTTTACATCTTAACAACTTAATTATGCGGAAATGTTGAAAAATCGACGAGGAAGTTGGTTTCCCATTCGAATTTTCCCGTTCCACCTTAAGTGGAGCAGCAGCTGCGCTCCGGCGCCTGAGGCCAGAGTGTAAGACTGCACCATTTAAGGTGGAACGGGAAAATTCGAACAAGAAGCTAATAAGATGAGCTAAGCTACCTGGCCGAAAAGGCCAGGTGCGGCTCCTGTGTTACTTTATGGCTCCTCACGCTTTAAAAATCGGACCATTTTGCGGAGAAGAATGAAAAACACGGTGCAAACAGTCTCAGTTAACGAACCTTCAGCAGCGCAGCTCCGGTTTCTCCATCAACACTGACCGCCGTAGCGAACCGAGCGCAGCGGGACCTTCTTCTCCTCCTTCTTAGCGTTGGGGAACCGCAGTTACAGACTTAGCGCCACCACTCGGACTGCAGGGTTCTCTACACCATAGATATACAGACCGAGATGCCGCGTTGGGTCCAGCCAGGCACGTCAACGGAGCCGCCATTTTAGGGGCGGTCAACATCGCGCTGGACTGCATTCAGTACCATTACAGAGCGGCAGTTTAAGAAAGATACTGTCCAAAATTACACTATTTCAGGAATATTACACTCAGAAAGAGGGACAGGATTATATAACGGAGGGAACGCAGTGATCCACACTCATGTCTGTGTGATGTTTGTGTAGATATGGCCGTGTGGTTGGTGAAGCACAGAGAACCTGTTGATGTGATTGTTTTATATTAAGCCTATTTCACCTAATAGTCTATTCAGGTGATCTTAACTTTATGTAGTAGTTATTTATTTACGATGATGGCTAATACGTGTAGTAATAGCATTCCTTAATCCGTTCCACCTTAAATGGTGCAGCTTCAGGCACCAGAAAGTGACTGCTGCGCTGTTTAAGGTGGAACAGGAAAACTCAAACAAGAAGCTGGCGAATAGGAAGCCAACTTTAGCTTCATCCTGTGTATAAAGATTAGAAGTGATTCACACGCTGATGGATTTGCTGATGTGTCTGATTGTGTTTCTCGTGCTACACTCGGTTTTTAACGTCAGGTACAGACTGAATACTTTTCTGCTGGTCCGGACGGCTAATTATCATGATCAGTTATTAAAGTAATAAAAGCTACCGAGAGCAGATCCGTGCAGCCTGGATTAATCTGTGTCTGAGGATTATAACTAAACAGATTTGGTGAAAATCGCTGATTTAATCCTGAGACTCTTCGTCTCTCAATACAAGTGAATCTGTTCACAAGCGGATCTGGACCTCTCCAACATGGCGGACGCGCAGACGTATCGCCTCAGATAGAGACCAATAGACAAACGTGGCATCTGGGTATGGATATCTATGGTCTATTTGTGGAGAAAGTTCCGCCCTTCAGTAAAAAACAGCCAATCAGCTTGCTGGAAAAGCCGCAGGCGGGAAAACCCTTCCGCCCCCGCCCCAACCCTTCGCTGTGGTTCGTGGGATATGTAGTTCATTCTGACAGTAAACACGTCATGTTCGTTTTTCAGAACTTTTTTCTCTACGATTTAATTTCATAAAGTCATGATTCAATCTCGTAGCTGTTCGGTTCGGTTGAGAGCTTAAAACTCTCTTTTATACGGGCTTTTCGAAATGTCTGTGGAGAAAATGAATGAGATTTCTTCCTCCGGAACCAGAGTCGCTGAAAACGTGTGTGGCCACTGATTAGCTCTGTTAGGGATGGGCCATACAATCAATTTGTTCTCCATCTAATACCAAGTAACACCAGAGCAGGTTTAAAAGGGAAGCTGATACACACCGGTCAGGCATAACATCATGACCACCTCCTTGTTTCTTACTATATAGGGTCACTTTGTAGTTCTACAGTTACAGACTGTAGTCCATCTGTTTCTCTGATACTTTGTTAGCCCCCTTTTACCCTGTTCTTCAGTGGTCAGGACCCCCATGGACCCTCACAGAGCAGGTACTATTTGGGTGGTGCATCATTCTCAGCACTGCAGTAACACTGACGTGGTGGTGGTGTGTTAGTGTGTGTTGTGCTGGTACGAGTGGATCAGACGCAGCAGTGCTGCAGGAGTTTTCAAACACTATGTCCACTCTATTAGACACTCTCATGTTGTCAGTCCACCTTGCAGATGTAAAGTCAGAGACGATAGCTCATCTGCTGCTGCACAGTTTGTGTTGGTCATCCTCTAGTCCTTCATCAGTGGTCACAGGACGCTGCCCACAGGACGCTGTTGGCTGGATATTTTTGGTTGGTGGACTATTCTCAGTCCAGCAGTGACACTGAGATGTCCAGTAAACACATTTTGGAGTGGCTCTAATGACCCAGTGTATTTTTTAATTATGAGCTGTTATTACATTGAAACACTTCAGTACACTTGAATGTATTTGAAATCACATAAATATACTTAAGTACATACTTAAGATCAGTTGCTGCCGAGCACTGAAGTTAATTTAATGTAAACATTCCCTTTTCACTGTTCTGTACAGGGAGGCCCCAACACCCCACTGAGAATCTGGGATTTCTTCATGAAGCCTTTTGAATGAAGAGGAACTGTCGAAGGTTCTGCTGTGGTTCTAGATCACTATTTAAGCCGAAGCAGATCTAAGACACTGACCATGTTAAGCTCTTCGTGCTGAAAGCTCAGGTTTGGTTTTAGTCTCGTCTTTTTCAGTGAAACTCGACTCTCAGGTGGATCTGATCTGCTCTCAGAGGCTTTTGCACAGACTCGTGGACGTCACGCAGCTCGAGTGGACGCTGCCATTAAAGCTACAGGGACACCCCACCAAATAAGGAGAAATTCTGAAATTCATGTTAAAATTTCAGAGATTCCACTGTTGCTGATTTGTAATGAAAAAGGTGCATTAAATTAGTAATAAATGCTAAACAGAAGCCTTTTCTTTAGCGCTCTCAGACTTTTGGACCCCACTGTACTGATATTTAAATGTAGATTCTCTTTGACTTTCACTAAATTATATATTTTGGCTCCGCATTTCGTTTTGATCAGTAAAAGTTTGACACAAAATCTCCACCCAGAGATCCTCCTTCACTGAAGTAGAGCTTCTCTGTCCTTTTTCCTCCTCTGCAGGATCCTCCACATGTACTATAGATGACTGTAAAACAGCTCCACAGGAGCGCCACACAGAGGAGGATACAGATTATTACAGCAGGATTATACACAATGATAGATATCTGAGAGTTTATTATAGTGTTACTCTAGATCTGTACTGTAAGGGTGATGAAAGTGTGAGTTACATCACTTTATCTTAAAGCTGTCAATCAGCAGAAACTCTTTCTGACTCAGATTATGAGTTAAATATTTGGAGGATCTGATTAATTAAACAGCAGCTTCATTATAATTCACCTGTGAACAAGAAGCAGATTTAATACAGCAACATTATACCTGAAGTATATCGAGAACAATAAAAGTAGATTTTTATTTCATGTATTTTTATGGAAATTCACCTAAAATATACATTTCTGTATTTTTCACAAAGTATATTTTTAAACAAACGATTCTTTATTATCTATATATAATATATTATTATTAAAGGAAAACACTTCAATAAATGTATTTCCTAACATACTGTTACGACACGACACACGCAAAACTTTTAATTTTTAAATGCCATCAACCTGCATGGATTTTTAGCATAATGTTTTCTAAAGAAATTATTTTAAAGTTCGCTTTATTACATTTTGTAGCATTTTCATTGCAATACATTTCCAATTAATTACCAATCATATTGATATTGATACACCTATGAGTTCACATTTAAAATATGTTTAATTTTTTATATTTGTAATATGTATTTTAATATATTTAGTGTACCGTAAGTTCTAGTTTAGAACAGAAAAGCACTTGTAGGCAAAGAAGGTGAATTTCAACATTAGTTAAACATAATTAAAGTGGGTATAAGTTGTGTTTAGTAATTTCTAATATATTTTAAATTCAGAGTTTATACATTAACCGTTTTTGAAAATATTGTTAAATACATATTTTATTTGTTTAATGTGCTTAAGTATATTTACGTGATTTCAGATGCATTTGCGTGTATTTTGGTTGCAGTATAACTCAATAAGTAGGATTGAAGTGTTTCAGTAAATCGAGCAGAATATTTAAAATATATTTCACGTGTAATAGCAGCTCATAAGCTGTTCAAAAAAGCACTACAAAACAAAACTAAACGCGTTTAATATATTTAATCATGGCTAAATTCGAGCTTAAACACATACGTCATCATAAGATGGACAAAAACAACACATTCAGTCTGAACTGAAGAAAGTTTAACGTCTGAACATTAAAAGTTTGTACTTTTCATATTAAACACTTTTGAAAAGTTCAAATCTTGAATGTTTTTCTCCTCCTCAGGGGTCACTACATTGTGTCCACTAGACTGTAGTTTGTCCTTCACTGGTCAGCAGTGAGCGTAATAGAATGTAGAATGTTGTTAAAAGTTCCTCATAATGGACTAAAGGCTACAGGGTGTGATGTCATAAAGGTGAAGATGCAGATAAGTTCCATCACACTGCTGTTTCACAACATTCTGTGTGGAGCCCCGAAGAGACCAGCTGCTACAATGAGCTGCCTCTGGTTCTGGCGCTGCCGAGTCCATGAGGACGACTCGGACACAGACAGCGAGAGAAAGGAGGAGCGGCAGAGTGAGAAGAGAAAGAGAGGAAAGGAGAAGAGGAGCGGGACGAAATGGAAGATTCAGTGGAAGAAAGAAAGGAAGAACATCAACAAAGAGGAAGAAGTAGAAAAAGAAAACAGCCAAACAAACCAGCAGCCAGCAAAGGTGGAGGAAGAGGCCGATGTTCTGGACCTGCCAGTAGGCCTCGTGTCCGGCTGCCTTAAAAGCGTTTCGGCTGAGACGCTGGAGAACACGGCACCCTCACAACAGGAGAACCTCACTGAAGAGGTGGACGAAGCCATAAAACATCTAATGAAGACGCTGCTGGATGAGGTTGAGACACACATGGAGCAGCTTCTGAGTGAGTTAATGAGAGAATATTCATAATAGACACTGAATAATAGTAGTGATAACCAAATATTCATAGTAGATGCTGAATAAATCATGGGGGATGTTGAACAATTCATGGTAGGTTCTGAATAATTCAAAGTGGACACTGAATAATTTACAGCAGACAATGAATAATTCATAGTAGCCACTAAATATTCATAGTAGATACTGAAGAATTCAAAGTGGATACAGAATAATTCATAGCGTGTACTGAAAAATTCATAGTCGTCTTGAAATATTCATAGTAAACACTGTAAAATTCATAGAAATTCATCTAAATATTCAAAGTAGATACTGAATAATTTATTGCAGATACTAAATAATGTATAATGAAGACTGAATAGTTCATCATGCTGAATATTCATAGTGGACAGTACACAATTCATAGTG